CTATCTCATATGCGCAACCAGCTGAAACCGGCCGACGGCATCTCGCGCGGTCAGGCATTCTCGATGGGGGATTTGGCGGAGGGAAGGAACATGCGAAAGAAAGCGGAGGCATATCTGGATGCGATAGGCCCTGAAGTTGCCCTTTCATAGGAGTAATCTTCACTTGGCGGAGAAACGATTCTGAATGGGGAATACCCAATTAAGTGGATGTGACTGCCAAGAAACGAATGGGGGTTTTGTCTGAAGTGGTCGGATTCCTTTTTTTTTTTTTTGACCCTCATTGATTTTCGAAAAAGTTAAAGTTTTTACTACAGCAACGTCACGCAAATATACTGACCACTAGGTGTTGAAGTAACGTTTCGTTGTCTCTGCACTCAAGAACAGGAATGGCAGGAATGGAGTACACCTTGTGTATCTGCTCAGACCTCCCTGGAATGGCGCGGACATTTGGGCGGCTTATCGGCACTAGCCTTTTTTCTAAAGTTGTGTTGTGCTCATCCGATCCCTCCGTGGAATTTAAGGAAGTGAAGGAGACCGCTGAGAAAATTGTTTTACTTGTGCTTGGTCCACTTGGCCACGATGGTATAAAGCTTCTTTGTGATGATTACCGCAAACCACGTGAAGAGAGACGCATAGGGTGGGTCCACAGCGTCTCGGCAGGGGTGGATTGGTACCGGTTAAATGAACTAACCACAGAACTTGAAGGTATCCCTTTCACGAACGGTCGGGGTTGCTTCTCCTCCATCCTGGCGGAGCACGTGATATACGCCATGCTGTACTTCAGCCGCCAGACGTGGCGCCTGCAGGCGAGCCGCGCGGAGCACAAGTGGGACCCATTCAACATGGTGGAGCTGCGCGGGCTGAAGATGGGTATTATTGGCTACGGCGACATCGGACATGCCACCGCCAAGCTGGCCACCGCGTTCGGGATGGACGTGACGGGCGTGAAGCGCTCCGCCCCCGCGAAGGACGTGGACGAGTACGGCGTGCGTCTGGTGCACGGTGAGGCGGAGCTGAAGCGCGTGCTCAGCGAGTCGGACTTCGTGGTCAACGTTCTGCCGGGCACGGATGAGACAAAGGAGTTCTTCAACAAGGAGCGCTTTGCCATGATGAAGCCGGAGGGGTATTACATCAACATTGGCCGTGGCATCACACAGAATGAGAACGACCTCGCAGCGGCGCTGCGGAACGGTACCATCCGCGGTGCTGCCGTGGATGTGTTCCAGAAGGAGCCGCTGGGCCCTGAGTCCCCGCTGTGGGACATCAGCGACGACAAAATTCTTCTCTCGTTTCATAGCGCCTTCATGGTAAATGGCGTAGAAAGGAGAATAGTGGATTGCTTTGTACGCCGCGCGGAAGAATTTGGTACCTCTGCTTTTGATTCCAATCAAGTGAGGTTGGAGTAAACCATATTTGGCCGTCGCTGTTGTCCAAACCAAGCAGCGTAGCCGTTGTTCTGACGGGATTGTTATGCAAGGTTAAATGATCATAGTTTATATGTGAGTACCTCTTTTTTTCCTGTGCAAGACCAATTCCAGAGATGGGGTGTCCTTTCGGTCGAGCTGAAGAGGGATAGCATACTTACTTTGTATCATTTTTTGTTGGTTTAATTTTTTTCGTTTTTGTTGTTTTTTT